GGAGTGTGGTGGCTCAGCCTTTACCCCAGCACTTTGGGAACCCAAAGGAGAGTATTGTCTGAGCTCGGGGTTCCAGACCAGCCTGGGCAACTTGGTGAGATCTCATCTCTACAATAAGTTACAAAAATTATCTGGGCGTAGTGGTGTGTGTCTGTAGTTCCAACTACTTAGAGGTCTGAGGCGGAAGGATCACCTGAGCCCAGCAGGTAAAGGCTGCAGTGGCTGTACTCCAGTCTGGGCTACAGGGTGCCACTGCACTCCAGTCTGGGCGACAGAGTGAGACTCCAACTCAAAAAAAAAATTAGCTAAGCATGGTGTTGTACACCTGTAATCCCAGTTATTCAGGAGGCTGAGGAGGGAGGATTGATTGGGCCCAGGAGGTCAAGGCTGTGGTGAGCCATGATTGTGCCACTGAACTCCAGTCTGGGTGACAGAGTGAGACCCCGACTCAAAAAAAAAAGTTGTTTTAACTAAAAAAATTTTAGAAATAAGCCGGGCTCAGAGGCTCACTCTGTAATCCCGTGCTTTGGGAGGCTGAGGTGAGTGGATTGCCTGGGCAACTTGGCAAGACCTCATCTCACAATAAATCAAAAATGAGCCGGGTGTGGTAGCACGCGCCTGTAGTTCCAGCTACTTGGAAGGCTGAGGCGGAAGGATCGCCGGAGCCCAGCAGGTCGAGGCTGCGGTGGCCAAGAGCGGCCACTGCACTCCAGTCTGGGCAACAGTGAGACTCCACCTCAAAAAAATATATATATAAATTTAGAAATATACTCCCACCTTAGAGTTTTCCACGTCTTCCCAAAGTCAAACACTATCCTGATTAGTTTTGCCAGTTTTTAACTTTATTTGTTTTATTATTATTGCTATTATTTTGGTAGAGATAAGATCTCACTATGAAGCCCGGCTCGGTGGCTCAACCTGTAATCCCGCGCCTTTGGGAGGATGAGGTGAGTGGATTGCCTGAGCCCGCAGGTTCGAGACCTGCCTGGGCAGCAAGACCTCATCTCTACAATAAATCAAAAAAAAAGATTTCACTATGTTGCCCAGACGGGACCCAAACTCCGGACCTCAACCTCCTCCCACCTCAACCTCCTCAGTAACTGGGATTACAGGCAAGTGACTCCCAATGATATTCATATCCTAATCCCCAAAATCTCTGAATATGTTACCTTGCACATTATGAGAGTCTGCAGATGTGATTACCTTAAGGATCTTGAGATAGGAAGATTATCCTGGATTATTTGGTAGGCCCAGTGTAATCACAAGGGTCCTTTCTAAGACGGAGACAGAAAAGGTGAGAGTTACGTGATGTAAAAAGGACTCTGCCCTCTGTTGCCAGCTTTAAAGATGGAGACAGAGGGCCATGAACCTAGGAAGGTGTAAAAGGCAAGGAAATAGATTCTCCCCTGGAGCCACCAGAAGGAACACAGCTCCGCCAACGCTTAGACCTTAGCCAGTGGGATCCGTATCAGACTTCTATCCTATAGAATTGTAAGACAGTAAATCTGTGTGGTTTCAAGGCACTAAATTTGGAGTCATTTGTTACAGAAGCAATACAAAATGAATACAAGTACTTACTCTTTGTGTCTAGTGTCTGCCACTCAACATTTTACTTGTCTATATACTGTTCCATTGCATGAACATACCACATTTTATTTGACTATTGACAAACGTTTGAGTTGTTTCCTGCATGAGCTATTATGAATAGTGCTGCTAGGAACATGCTTGTAATTGTCTTTTGGCTAATACATGGACATATTTCTGTTGCACATATATAGGAATCAAATTGCATATATAAGCGGCTGCTATGAAGCCTTCCAGGACTCTCCTTCAGGACAGAAGGACCTCTTCCCCTAGCTGCTGGAAGGACCCTGACTGGCCTCTCTGAGAACTAGACTCAGCTGAAAACAGCCCCTCTGGCTGAGGTCACACACACTTCCCAGGGGCAGCCAACATTCATTCAATTACCGGTTGGTATGTAGCGGGGAGGGACTAAAGGCCCCCTCCCCCGCTGACACTTGGAATAGCTTTGAAGGGTCACCACAGATTCAAAGCTCTTCAGAGATCTGGGAGACTTTTGTAGAGGCTACATCCCAACCCAACGTCCCCCCTCCCCAACTCGTCTTCCTTCTCTTCCCTGCAGGTGTTGATCCTACAGCATTCCTTAATCAACTTTCTTTAGTATTTTTTCCTCCTCAAATCCAATATGACCGGTATCCCTTAATTAATTTCCTGCATGCTAATCTCCAATTCAGGATCAGCTGTCTGGGAACACAACCTGAAACAGCCTACGTTCAGCTTTCATGAATACTATCAAGCAATTTTCTAGGGTGATGGCCCCAGTGTATACTCCCACCAGCAGTGTGAGAGAGTTCCACGGGCTCCACATTCTTGCCAGCACTAGGTATTTTTTATAGTTTGTTGGGGGGGGGTTAATTTTTATTATTATTATTTTTTTAATTTTTATTTTTTGAGTTGGAGTCTCACTCCGTCGCCCAGGCTGGAGTACAGTGGCACACTCACAGCCACCCCAGCTTTGACCTGCTGGGCTCAGGTATTTTTCCACCTCAGCCTTCCAAGTAGCCAGAACTACAGGTGCACACCACCAAGCCAAGTCTCTCCATCAGGCAATTCCCTCACCTCAGTCTCCCAAAGTGCTGGGATTACAGGCTTGAGCCACCTCGCCCACCCCTTATTTTTATTTTTTGAGTCAGGGTCTAACTCTGTCACCCAGGCTGGAGTGCAATGGCATGATCACGGCTACTGCAGCCTCAGCCTGCTGGGCTCAGGCAATCCTTCCACCTCAGCCTTCCAAGTAGCCGGAACTACAGGTGCACACCACCAAGCCCAGTCTCTCCATGTTGTCCTGGCTGGTTTCGAACCTCTGGTCTCAGGCAATCCTCCCGCTGTGGCCTCCAGGAATGCTAGGATTACAGGTGTGAGCCACCGCGTCCAGCTTTGTATCATTTTTTAAAAAGCCATTCTGGGCCGGGTGCAGTGGCTCAAGCCTCTAATCTAGCACTTTGGGAGGCCGAAGCGAGAGGATTGCCTGAGCCCAGGGGTTCGAGACCAGCCTGGGCAACTTGACAAGACCTCATCTCTACAATAAATCAAGAAAAATTAGCCAGGCATGGTGGTGCACGCCTGTAGTTCCAGCTATTTGAAGGGCTGATGTGGAAGGATCGCCTGAGCCCAGCAGGTGGAGGCTGCATTGGTCGTGAGAGTGCCACTGCACTCTATCCTGAGCAATAGAGTGAGACTCCAACTCAAAATAAAAATAAAAAGCCACTCTTGTAGGTGTATGGTGGTTGTTTTAATTTCTTGTTTTAAAATGTCTTTGTTGTTTAATTTGCATTTTTCTAATGTCTAAAAGTTGAGTGCCTTGTTGCATATTTATTACATCATTTAGATATCTTCTTTTGTGAATTGCCTGGTCAAGTCTTTTACCCACTTGTCTACAGAGTTGTGTGCCTTTTTCTTATGAATTTGTAGGTGTTCTTTCTATATCCTGGATACAAGTCTTTTGAGATATTACAACATATGTTCAGACTTGGCTATACTCAGACTGTCTCAACAGTACCAGCATATTATAGTTCCCAAAAAAAACTCCTTTAAGGAAAGACTGCTGGGATAGGTGAAACTGTATATGGTTTTTTTGTGGGTTTTTTTTGGTTTTTGTTTTAGTTGGAGTCTCACTTTGTTACCCAAGCCGTAGTGCAGTGGCATCATCACGGCCACTGCAGCCTCGACCTGGCTAGGTGATCTTTCCGCCTCAGACTTCCAAATAGCTGGAAATACAGGTGCGTGCCACCACACCCGGCTAATTTTTTGTTTGTTTGTTTGTAGAGACAAAGTCTCACCAAGTTGCCCAGGCTGGTCTTCAATCCCTGGGTTTAGGTAATCCTCTTGCCTCCGCCCCCCAAAGTGCTGGGATTACAGGTGTGAGCCACTGCGCCTGGCTTTTGTATGGTTTTAATGGGTATAATTGAATACAGGACATGGGTCCCAAGGAGAGGGAAACAGAACCTTGAATGCAGGTTAACACATCCTCAAACTTCGCCACTCTCCTTTTGCTGTTTCCGGGACAGGCACTTAAACGCTCAGTTCTTCAAAATAATTGTAACTTAATATTCGTTTATCCAAAGAATGTCCGTGGAAAGTATCGATGGGCCAGCCTGTTCGAGGTGCTGAGGAGCCAGTTATGAACCAGAGGGACAAGATTCTTGCTTCCAGGAGCTCTCGGAGAGATCACACCAGATAAGATAATTTCAGATAGCGAGACAAACCGAAGGAGGTGAGGACCAGAGGACCGATCCTGCAGCTCCCAGGCCAGGGCACCAGGACGGCCCCGCCCTCGGCCCC